GGGGGGCGTGGCGGCGGCCTGCGCGGAGGCGCCGCCGGGGCGGGTGCGGGGCGGCCTGGCCCGGCCGAGGCCGCTGAGGCCGCTGAGCGCCGGGACGGGGCGCGTGGCAGCCGCGGGCGCGAGCACTTCCGGCGGGGGCGCGCGCCCGAGGGGGAAACTGAGGCGCCTGGAAAGGGAACTTGAGGGGAGGCCGTCCGGCCCAGTCCCTCTGATCTAATCGAGGAGGTAAACTGAGGCACCGCGGGCAGTGCCGTGTCCAAGGTCACAGAGAGAGGCGGGATCTCAAGGTCGCAGGCTCTGGAGCTGGGAGGGGTCTTAGCGACCACCACGTGGTCCAAATCGTTGTTTGACAGGTGGGGAAACTGAGGCACAGGGTGGGACTGTGACTTATTCAGAGCAGGCATTCAGAAGCTGAGTTAGGATTCGAATTCAGGTCCCTTGCTGGCCCCCTCGTGATGAATGACACTGCGTTGTCCAGCCTGGTCAGAAAGGGTAGCCATCCTTTAGCTAGAGCTGTCCTGCCCCCACATATCGACGACGGGTCGGAAGGTCACTGCCCTTCGGTCCATTTCACCGTTGATATCCTTAATGCCACACACCCTGCCGAATGCTGAGGATCGGGAGACTTGCCTGCCCCCAAGGAGCTTCTGTCCTCCTGGGGACATTTGGGAAGGACCTCTGTGGGCGCTGCTTAAATGACAGCACCCACCTACCTTGGGCTGCTCTGCAAAGTCCACAGGAGATGTGAGATCCCCGAGAGAGAATAAGGTATCCCATAACCCTTCCTCTAGAGGGACTGGCCCTGGGCACTGCCCGCACAGAGACCTGCCAGGGTTTTTCCAGGGACTTTGGAACCCCCAGCTGTCATTACTGTCCTTGCCGACCTCCTTTCTTGAAAGAAGCCAGGAATATCGTTTAAAGTTGACCCCACCAGAGGGACAAAACTCGCTTTGTGAAATAAGGAAAAGGTGGCTGTACCTGAGCCGTGGGTTTACCCAAGTAGGGGAGTTTGGAATACAAAATGAGTCCCCTCTAATTGGGTTTCTGGAATGAATTTCCTGCAGAAACCAGGTGCACAGAGGAAGGTAGCAAAAGTGGGAAGGGGCCACAGAGACGGGGGAAATGCTGCGGGGGGGGAAGCTCTTGGGCCCGTCCTGACTGGCTGGGCCATATGGCGGGCATCCACCTCTGTATTCCTAGGGGCCAGTTGAGGTGGACCGCTTTGAATCACAAAGAGCTCACTCTGTGCTTTTGGCCAGGGTTAGAGGCATCACCAGAAGTGCGGGCTGCTGTGAAGGGTGGAGGGGCGTTGGAGTCTTACCTGGCAGCTTAGCACTAAGTGGGGCTGGAATTCGCAACTCACCCAGTCGAGGGTCAGCAGAACTTCCATTCTCTAGATGCCAGGTAGATATCCAGCCGTTCATTTTAAGTGGGTGCAGGGAGTTGGAAGAGTCTTTTCCAGGGTGACTCTTTCTCAGGGCTGTGCCCTTGCTTTGTGGTAGGCTGAAAGCACTCCCTGACTCCCCTCTAGACTAGAGCCATTCTGGTGAGGGGGAGCATGCCCACTGACATTTAGCTGGGTGAGCTCCCTCTCCTGGGTTGGTTTGGGTGAGGGGTGCTTCCTTTCTGCTCCTCTGTTGTCTTTCTCAGCCACCCACCCATCCCTCTCCAGCATTCTCTTTCTCTCTGATCTGCCTCCTTTTCCTCAGTCTCTCCTCAGGCTGAGGTTTCCCTCAATTTAGAGATGATCGTGCTAATCTCCCACTTTGTCCTTCCTAACACAGGTTCTCTTCCCCCTTTTCCGTTTTCCTTGGGTTTGGCCCACCACCTCGCTGGGCCCAGAGGCGGTTTCATAGATTTCATGCTGACTTAGAGGGAAATCTTGCTGTTCTGAGAAAAGCTGACTCTTCCAGATCCTAAGAGGAGCATAGAAAGAAGACAGGAGGGAAGGAAAAGTTAGAAAAGGGAAGCTTCTTGGGGTGGACCCGTCTTTCCTGGCGGGGTGGTAGCAGCCACCTTCAGGTGGGGTTCGAGCGGTTGGCAGGGCACCTCCTGAGACAGGCCTTGGTTTCTTCATCTCACCTCTGGGATTCGGGGGGGCTTCTGAGGTAGTCTTGGGAGGTGGGGTGGGGGCTTCTTGTACCCGTGCAGTGGGGAGCCAGCTACCTCCTCCTCAGTGCCACCTGCTGGGGGTCGCTGCTGGCGGTGGAAGTCTTATAGCCCAGGCTTCTCTTCCAAAGAAGGGAACTCCACCTTCTTTTTCCTATTCCTGATCCCCAGTCAACGAAGCAACTGTTGTTCCCTTATTCCTTCCCCTGCCATTGATGGGCTGGTCCGTTTTTTTGTTTGTTTTTGCTTTTGTTTGGCGGGGAGAGGAGGGGAGTTTGGTCTTAGTTTGAGAAGCAGAACACTTCTGGGGTTCATTTCTGATGGGCTCCATGAGCTGGGAGCCTCCCCGGCCTGATATGAAAAGGGAATCTCCTTCTGAGGGCTTTTGTAAGGGAGCTGCCCGGTGACCCCCAACACCCATCACTTTCTGTTGGCCGGTTAACAGGCCCTGGGCATCCATGTTTGCCTGAGCTTTCTCTGTCCGGGGAGCCCTGGCAGAGTTCTCTCCCCCCTTTCTCCCCAGTCATTAGGAGCAATGTTCACTGCCCTTTCCCAAACACAGTGTTCTTTTATAAAGCCCTGTGGCCCGCGGCCCGGCCCCCAGTATCTCCCATGAGGGCCCCGGGATCTCCCAGCTCTCCTTCCATTTCCTTCTGAATGTCACTGTCGATTGCCATCGGTGGAGACAAAGGAGCTGTGCTCCTCGGCTTTGTTTATCCAGTTTTCTTCTCTGAAGGTGAGGATGTGGAGGCGACTTCTGAAAGCACGCTAATGTGGACCCATTGCCTCCTCCTCACAGAAGAGGCCTACCTCAAATTACAGTAATTACAGCTCATTGAATTAAGCCGGCTGGCGCGTTTCTGCCGCTGCCTTTTTGTTTGTTTTGGTTTGGGGCTGGGGATTTTTTCCAGTTGCTTAAAGCATCAGGCTATGGAGAGCCCGTCATATCACAGTGTGGAGTTTAAGACAATTCTGGTTCTGGGCCTCCACGACCAGAACACCGCAGAGTCCGGTTGGGCAGCCAGGACTTAACCCAGCTTAGATTCCTCGGGGTGTCACTTGAATCAGCTCGGTCGGTGTCCTCTAAGGCAGAAGAGAGAGCAGACAGGTCAGAAGGGTCCCACGCGCTTTGTGAGCCTTCCCTTGAAGCAGAGAGCCAGGGAAAGAGTGGGGGCAGCTTGTGAGCCCTGCTTCCTGCCCCTCCTCTCCCCCACAGCCTGGGGGAGCAGTACTACCGAGATGCCATGGAGCAGTGCCACAATTACAACGCTCGCCTGTGTGCCGAGCGGAGCGTGCGCCTGCCCTTCCTGGACTCCCAGACTGGAGTGGCCCAGAGCAACTGTTACATTTGGATGGAGAAACGACACCGGGGGCCAGGTGAGGGTCAGCTCCTGGTGTGGGCCGAGAGGCAGAGAGGTTTTCCTGATCCTTCTCTGTTTCCTTCACGAGGCCTCTGTCCTCTGAGGCTCAGGCACATCCAGTCTGGCCTCCTGTGGACAGACAGCACCTGATTCCACTTCCCTTTCTCCTTCCTCCTCCCTCTCCCACCCTCTTTTCCCACCCAACTCCCAGCAGTCCGACCTGTTGTTCGTCTCCCCTCCTTCCCCCCTCCCCCCCCCACCCAGCCTCAAAGTGAGCAGCAGGGAGTCTCATGGGCCCAGAAGGCATTCTCATTCTCAGGTTACTGACCCAGATCATCTCCCACAGGGCTGGCCTCAGGGCAGTTGTACTCTTATCCTGCCCGGCGTTGGCGGAAAAAGCGCCGAGCCCACCCTCCTGAAGACCCCCGACTCACCTTCCCATCCATCAAGCCAGGTAGGAGCGGTATTCCTCTGTGGTCCAGCAGGGCAGTGCCACGGTCTGGGGCTGAAAAACAGGCTGAAGGGGGAGAGCGTGTCGGAAACGTGGAGACTCTTGGTTCTGGGAAGTTGGAGGGCAGAGGTGAACGAGGGCCCTCTACTTCTAGTGGGCATAACTTCAGGGCTACCTACCCTGTTCCCGTCCATGTCAGTGTACCCTGGCTCTCCTTCCAGATACAGACCAGACCCTGAAGAAGGAAGGACTGATCTCCCAGGACGGAAGCAGCTTGGAGGCCCTGCTGCGCACCGACCCCCTTGAGAAGCGGGGTGCCCCCAATCCCCAGGCGGATGATGACAGCCTGGGGGAGTTCCCGGTTACTAACAGCCGGGCAAGGAAGGTAGCGGCTTCTCCCCCTCGTTGGAGGGGCCCCCCAGGGGCCACGTGGCCCCTCGTCGGAAGGCCGCTGGGGCAGCCTGGGTTAAACCAGCTAGAGGGACTTCCAGAGTGGGAGGGGGACGGGCCAATAGAGCGTGTCTTTGTCACGTCCGTCCCTGAACCGTCCAGGAACACGTAAGCTCTCAGCTGCCACTTCTGCTTGCTCTTTCCTGCTTCAGGCTTTCCCCCAATTCAGTGGGAACCCTGGGAAAGGAGGGAGAGACGTCCGAGTTACGTTCGTCTCCCATTGGCAGGGGAACAGCTGAGCGGGCGAGGGGGCACGTGCCATGCCTGGCAGCCTCGGCTGGGTGGCCCCCTGGCCCTCTGGTTTGGGGTCCTTGCCGCTCTCCCCACCCATCGTAACCTTCCCCTCCCCCAGCGGATCCTGGAGCCTGAGGACTTTCTGGATGATCTGGACGATGAGGACTACGAGGAAGATACGCCCAAGCGTCGGGGCAAGGGCAAGGCCAAGGTGAGCCGGAGCAGGCCCTGCCTGCCTCTTCTCCCAGCCCCGAGAAAAGCTGGGGGGGTGCTCCGGTCCATCCCTCCCACAGTGCTCGGCGCAGCGAAAGGGGAGCACGACTGAGTGTGGAGAGGTTCTCAGCCACCTCTGAGGAAGCTTAGCTAAGCAGGACCTGAGATCCCGGGTGACAGAATCTTCCTCGTTCCCATTGGCAGGGCAAAGGCGTGAGCAACGCCCGTAAGAAGCTGGACGCCGCCATCCTGGAGGATCGGGACAAACCCTACGCGTGTGACAGTGAGTACCTCGGCATGGGGGGGGGGGGCCGGAGAGGACGGGGCAGGCCCCCTGTCGGGGGGGGGGAGGGAAGAAGAAGGCATTCACCGCCTGAACTGTGCCCACCTCGGCACGCAAGCCCAGGCTGTCATCCCACCTTCTGACGTGCTCCCATCCCGTAGCTGCCGGGAGGCCTCCCGTACCAAGGGGGCACGCTCTGGGAGGCATCTAGCTGGCCACGTGGCGGGGCCCATTGGTCCTGGAGCCCCCACCTCAGTTTTTTGAACGCAAATTTTTCTCTCTTCCTTTCTCTGTTTTCTCTCTTTCTCCTGCCCCACCCCCCCGTCCCTCCAAGTGCCCCCACGCTCGGAGGCTTCTCTCCTCGTTGGGCTCTTATGCTGCAGCTGCTGCTCCTGTCGTTTGTGTGTGTGTGCGAGTGTGTGAGTGTGTGCGTGGGCGCGTGTGTGTGCCTTCCTCTCACGACTGTTCTTTCTGTCTTTCAGATAGTTTCAAACAAAAGCATACCTCGAAAGCACCCCAGAGAGGTAGCCGTCCTCTCTCGGCACTCTGCCTTTGTGTTTCCTTTTCCCTTGCCTCCTTCCTTCGACGCTCCTCCTGCCTCTGTCTTCTCCTGCAGCGCTAGTTTGAAAACCTCTGGAATGGCAGGGGGCTGGGGTGGGGGGTGGGCAGGGAGGGAGTCTTTGCTCTGCTGCACCTGTCTCTGCCCCCACGTGTCATGCACAGACTTGCTCCCCTGGCACTCGGGGCCCTGGCGTTGGATGGCTTCTAAAGAGAGTTTAAGGAAACTAGTTACAGTGGGGGCTACGGTGGGTGGAAGGGGGCCTACTGTCCCCCTGAAGTAACCCTTGGTGGTGGGGAATCAATGCCTTTCGTGTCCCCCTCTCTCCTCGCCTGTTCTCCCCTCCCTCCCTCCACCATGAGACTGAGGGCAAGCTTGCGGGGCTGGGGGGGAGCCGGGGGCTAGCACGGGAGAAACCTGACATGGGAAAAGACGGGAGGGATTCCTGATCTACCCCTGGCACATTCTGCCTCTCTTCTCTAGGCATCCCCACGAGTCCTGGCTGACCGTGAGGCAGTGCCCTTAATGGGTCTGACTCTCCTAGCACCCCCTTGAGCCCTGTCACCCACAAGCTAACCTTGCTGGCCTCCCCCACTACCCTCTACCTTGCCATGATTCTGCTCAGTTGCCCACAGCTTCTCCCACTTGTGTTGCCTGGGACCACTTGGCTCCATTCACTTTAGGTGGGAAGTTTGGTGGGTTCCCTGACAGTTTAGTGAGCTGTTGGGCCCCGGTTCCGAGAGCATGCTTAGGAAACGGTCTCTTGCTTCCTGCCCCTCCGCTCTTCCAGCGGCCAGCCAGAGAGGTTCCCTCTTTCCCATCCCCTTCTTCTTGGCCTGGGGCACCTCTTGGCTGTGCAGGGATGAGGCGAGAGGCCCAGGCTCCAGAGCAGCCGGCTGGCCATAAATGGGGCCTGCTACGGAGGGTGGGATGAGCAAGGAGAGAGGGGAGCCTCCCCTTTTCCGTCATCAGTAACATCCATTAAAGCCCTGTCCCCAAACCGAGCTGATGTTCCGGGTCGGGGAGGGAGGAGGGGTGTCTCCTTGCACCCTGACAGAGCCCCAGACTCTGTAGGGAGCAAGGAAGGGGTGCTTGGATCATCACGCCTTTCTCTGCCATCCTCTCCCCAGTCTGTGGGAAGCGTTACAAGAACCGTCCGGGCCTCAGTTACCACTACGCTCACTCCCACCTGGCCGAGGAGGAGGGCGAAGACAAGGAAGACTCTCAGCCTCCCACCCCCGTGTCCCAGAGGTCTGAGGAGCAGAAATGTAAGGAGATCGTTGGGGCGGGGCCTGGGGGGAGAAATGGGCCAGCCGCCCCAGGCAGGCAGGCATCGTGCAGCTCGTGGGCCCAGCCCCTTGTCCCCGAGCCTGTCCTCCCTCCTTCTCTAGAGCGGGCCTTGGCTCTCGCCTTGCCCTCCCCTCTGCAGGGGGCCCATCAGCCGGAGAAGTCGGCCCCACCGCTTTCTTTTTTCCCCCCCGCAGCCAAGAAGGGCCCTGATGGCCTGGCCCTGCCCAACAACTACTGCGACTTCTGTCTGGGAGACTCCAAGATCAACAAGAAGACGGGCCAGCCCGAGGAGCTGGTGTCCTGCTCCGACTGCGGCCGCTCGGGTACCTCAGCGGGCAGCCCGGGGGGCGGCCATTCCTGAGGGAAGCCTGCAGCGCGGGTCTCCCCCGCTGCCTCCTCGTGGCACTGCTCAGGTCCCACCGAGCGGGCGAGGTCTCTGCCAGGCCGGCTCCGTGTGGCTGTAGAAGGGTCACTCTCGGCCGTCCTGTCCCGAGGTATGAGGGTGGCGGACGTGGCAGGCCTCCCCTTCTCTTCCCCCCAGGGCACCCATCCTGCCTCCAGTTCACCCCTGTCATGATGGCTGCCGTGAAGACCTACCGCTGGCAGTGCATCGAGTGTAAATGCTGCAACCTCTGCGGCACCTCGGAGAATGACGTGAGTGCGCTCCTGGGAGCTCCCTCCCCGTGGCGGTCACCCTCCGGGTCCTCCCCCGGGGCGGGCCCAAGGCCCCCGCTGCTCCCCGCACAGGCTCCCCTGACCCTCGTCCCTCTGACCCCTCCGCTCGCGGCTGCACCGAGGCCTGTTAATCACCCCCGGTTCCCTGCCCCCTCTTCTCTTCGCCCCCACTGACCAGGACCAGCTGCTCTTCTGTGACGACTGCGATCGTGGCTACCATATGTACTGTCTCACCCCCTCGATGTCGGAGCCACCTGAAGGTGAGTGTCCCTAGTGAGGCCTGGGCCCATCAGGGAGCGCTTATTAAGCACCTGCCGTGTGCGCGCACCATTCTCTCAAAAAAAGACACAGTCCCTGCCTTCAAGGACCTTATGTTGTTTTGGGGCGGCGTGTAGGCACGAGAAATTGGATGTGATTGGGGAAGAAGACCCGAGCAGCTGGGGGAGGTGGGTCAGGACAGGCTTCGTGGCTTCTCCCTGAATTAAACGAGTGATTGCAAAAAGCAGAGGTGACGGAGTGCGTTCCGGATGTGGGGCACAGCCTGAGTAGAGGGAGAAAGTGGGGCGCATGAAGGGGGGCGATCAGGAGGCCATTATAGTATGAAGTGATGTGGGCCTGAAAATGTACACGAGGGAGGTCCTCAGAGAGTTCAGCGTAGCGGCTGAGGAGGTCTGTGGCCTGAGAGAGACCCCAAAACTACAACCTGGGAGAAGGACAGAACCTCTGACCGGAAAGTGGCAGGTTGGAGTTGGGTTCGGGGTTGGAGAGGGCCCCTAGCACGGCATCTTGTAGGAGAGGTGCTAAGCACTGGGGGGACCCACCAGCCAGCCCTTCTGGGGGGAAGAGAGGCACCCCAGCCCTGAAAGGAAGGAGTAGATTGGAGCTTTTGTTTCTTGCCCAGCCCCCGAGAGAGAGGTTACCGAGACCAGAGAAGGATGGGGCAGGGCGGGGAAGGCAGCGTGGATGGAAGAAGATGAACCATCTCACAACAGTCTGCAGGCTGAGGACCTGCCTTCAGGTCTTGGCCCAGCCGTTTAGCTCAGAGTCTCCTCATCTAGGAGATGAGGGGATCGGCCTGGATACCTCCAGCGTCCCTTCCGGCTCTACATCGATGGTGCCCAGTGAGTGCTAGGTCTTCCCTCAGGAAGTGAGGAAAGGGAAGGGTCCACTGTCTCGGTGAAGGCCTCATCACTGTTCTCAGCAGATTCAGGGGGCTCCCTGAGCTTAGGGAGGGCTTGGCCGCTGACCTGGGCCTCTGGGGTCTTTCCGAAGTCACCCAGAAGAGGAGGTCGGTCCCCCCAGTGGGGACCGGTGCTGGTTGTGACTTTGATACGGGACTGTCACAGGCCAGGACTTCAGAACCGACAGCCTGGGGTCCATGGATGTTTTTAAATATTTTACTAACTATATTGCAGTGGAGTTGCTTTCCTTTGTCTTCTTACGCCTCTAAAGACGTGATTCGGAGAAGAGGTTTGTGGGAGGTGAAGAATCTTCACTCCAAAGGGTGTAGGGCAGGCCTGCAGAACACATGGCCCACAGGCTGCTTGTGGCTGCCAAAGCATTTCAGGCGGCCCTCGAAAAATGTCGGGTGGGGGCAGCTCGGTGGTGCGTGAATAGAGCTCCGGCCTTGGAGTCAGGAGGACCTGAGTGCAAATCCAGCCTCAGACACTTAACACTTACTAGCTGGGTGACCCCGGGCAAGTCACTTAACCCTGATCGCCTCGCCAAAGAAAAAAAGAATTGTAGGGTTGCCACTCTCTTGTTTGACACGTGACCCACGGCACCCAATCAGTCAGTCTGGCTCTAGTCTAACCTATCTGTAGCCCGAAGTTTGGCCTATTTTAATTTTGGCCCCTAACTATTGCCGAGTTGTACAGGTCGGATGTGGGGGTTTGACTGAGGTAGACGGGGCTGGAGGGAATCCCGCAGAGGACTTGGGGCACGTGCAGTGCTGCCATGTAGCTGCCTGACCTGGAACCCGTTGTGGGCAGCTAGGGTGTGCCATAGGGCACAGAGTGCCCAGCCTGGATTCGGGAACACATTTTCTTGGGTTCAATTCTAGCCTTAGACGCTAGCTGTGTGACCCTGGGTAAGTCACTTCACCTTGTTTGCCTCAGTTTCCTCATCTGTAAAATGAGCTGGAGGAGGAAATGGCAAACCAGTATCTCTGCAAGAAGACCCCAGATGGGATCACAAAGAGTCAAACATGAATGAACAACAACAGATAAAGGGGTACAACTCTGTGGTGTTTCCCAGGAATCCTAGCCTTCCGTGCCTGCGCCAGCTTGGCCGCCAGGCTGTGTAATCCTGTTCTCCTCTGCAGGGAGCTGGAGTTGCCATTTGTGTCTGGACCTGCTAAAGGAGAAGGCTTCCATCTACCAGAACCAGCACTCTTCTTGATGTGGCCGGGAGCCCAGGCACCCCCAATCCCCTCCTGCGTCCAGGGCTGTCTTTCAAACCTCTCTCGTTTTCCAGTTCCTCCTCTCCCGTCCTCCCCTTTGGCAGGCCAAGGGAGGGTGGTGCCAGGTTGTCTGGGGCAGCAGGCAGGCTGAACTGGCAGCTGACACTGTGGATCCCCCCGTCTGGCCCCAGCCCCTCCTGAAGGTGGGGGAGACAGGCTGCCCCTGGGAAGAGACAGGCCCTGGCTTCTCCTCACTCCTTTGCTCTCCATAAAGTGCATTCACTCTGCCTGCCTTGGGCCCAGGCCCTGGTTCTCACAGGGTTCAGCTCTGCCCTCCACACCGGAGCAGGAGGGCAGCTCACTTCTTTCCCAGCTCTGCCCACTCTGCCCCTAGGGTTTGCCCTCCCTCCTTTCTGAGGGCATCCAGGAGGGGCTGCATGAGCTGGGCAAGCCTGGGGCACTCTCTGGCTCTCCCCTGCCTCTCCACTTTGCCCCCCCCCGCCCCTGCAGGGAGGCTCTCCGTGGCGCTGTGTGCCTGCTGCCGAAGGGCACCTGGGGCAGGGCATGATGCACTCGGGCACCCCAGCCCCTTGGTGCTGCCGTAGCCGCAGCCTGACTCCTCCCTCCCAGCTCATCTTCCATAGCCCTCTTTAGTGGCAAAAGTGATTCTCTACCTTGTGCGTCCACTCTCTTTCCTCAATTCCCCTTCTCCTTGTTCTTCTTTTGTTTTGTGGGGAGAAGGGAAGCATCAGGGGGCCATCCAAGCAGTGTGGGGGCCAGAGGGAGAAGTTGGATAATGTGCCTGTTTTTTAACTCTACTTCAAGCCTACCTCCAAAATCCCCTTTCTGTTCTTCCTCCTCCTTACCTGGGCCTTCAGCCTTCTGCCCTCAATGGAATTGGGAGCCCCCAGGCCCCCACCCCATGCACCCAAGCTCCTAAGTCACAGGGGGGCCCCTCGGCCATCCCCTCCTCTCCTCGCACGCTTGCTAGCAGCTGGGAAGGCCTTGCTGCCCCTGGCTCCTCAGGCTTCTGCCAGGTGAGACTGGTAGTGGTGCGGGAGCAGTGCCCCTGGGGAGCCCTTTCTGCTGGGCCTCTCTCACTGTCACTTTGGAGTTGAGGTGTGTTTTTTTAAGTTCCTGTATTCCAGACATTAGTACAATAAACATTTTTACATGGAGCCTCTGCCGCTTTATTGGGTTTGTTGAAGGGGATTGCCCTCGGTGGCTGAAGGGACTGGTCCAGGTCCGACTGGTGCTTTGGTTTCCTCAGGACCACCCACCCCTTTCCCATCCAGTGCCTCCTGACTCTTCAAGAAGAAAGTGTTCTGGGACACTGCCTGTTCTGAATGGGGGCGGCTGGCTGCCAGCTGTTTTGTCTGACACTTTGCATTTTCTTTGTTAGGAGGTGAGGTTCGGTGGAAGGAGAAATATATCCAGACATGGCTGTGATGTTTGGGATTTTATTGGGGGCAGCCATTAATAAATGGGCGGGGAGGGAACCCTTAGCACGTCACCCCGCCCAGCATCCAAGGTCTGAGGCTTTTGGACTCTCATCTGTCAATCCCACCTACCGAGCTGAACGGTCTGTGCCGACTTGGTCCCAAGCACCCCGTGAAGACCCGGCAGCCTTGGCAGCATCCTGGCACCAGAGCTGCAGTTACCTTGATGACCGTGAGGGGGCCGCACGGGATGGCCATGAGGTCAAGCCGGGTGAGATCGGTTGGAGCAGCAGGAAGAGAAGCTGAACCATTTTCAGTACTGGGGAGGTCTGTCCTGTGAAAGGGTTGGCCTTGTTCAGCCTGGCTGAAGAGGGCAGAGCCAGGGTAGCGTTGAAAACGTCTTCCTCTTCACGCTGCCTGATCCTGCGGGAGCAGCAACTAGGCCCGGGGGTCGTTCTGCATCTGTTTCCTGTGTTCTCCTGGCCAAAAAATTCATCATCTAGTGGTCAGCCTCCAGATGACCGGTCACCAAGCATTAAGTACCTACTGTGTGCCAGGCACTATGCCAGATGCTAAAGACAAAATGGAACCTTCCCTGTCCTCAAGGAGCTTCCACCCTTTCGTTATTGACATAAATGGGCACAAAATACAAGATAAGGGATGGCGGTGGGGGATGCTTATTGGAGCCAGATCCAACTGTGAATTGTCAGTCTGAGCATTTACACCTCAGAAATCAGCAAACGTTATGAATCAGGGCTTGATTTACTATTTTTAGGGATTCTGGGTGAGGAAAATGTGGGTTCTAGGCCTTGGATGGGTGGGGACGCAGCCCAGGTCTTTTAAAGGCACAGAGAGGGAAGATAGACAAGCATATCTTATCTAGTGCGTGAGGGTGAATGACGTGGAACAAGCTTGGGAAAGGCATCCTGAATCCGGTTTGGTTTCGATCCCGGGGGTAGGAAGCCACCCAAATGTTGAGCAGTGGTGACAGGTCTGTGCATAGTTGGTTAGGCTAGGCCTTGGCCAGACTTGAGGGTCACGTGTCAAGCTATGCTAGCAAGGGAGAACCTGCCGAGTGGGTGCTCACCAGGCAGAACCGTAGGATATTTTCGGAGATTCTTAACTCCCCCTAGGGTGGGAAAAAGCTTTCTCTGGCAAGGCATAACTTGTTGAAGATGGTGCCCAGGGCACCAAAACCCAGGCTGGTCTTGGGTGGATTCTGTGTATGTTCACCTTGGAGAGCAGTATCTGATGTTGGCATGTGGAAGACTTGAGGGTCTTTCTCTGCCCTCCCTCTGCATTCCCCTAGTCATGAGCAAGCAAGGGCAACCAGAAGACCTCAGGAGAGAAATCTTCTCGAGCCCTCACTGGTCACTGGGCTCTCTCTCCTATCCGAGGAAACACACGGACAAGACGTGAAAGCTAGTGGCTGAACTCCGTCCAGTTCACTCCTAGCCTGGAACTTGAAGGTTCAGATCTTATGTGGGTTTCGTGTGTGTCATACCATGGGCTTTTGGTTTGGATGCAAACGCACAAAGACTTGTCTGTTCTGGTTCGGGCCCTGATGTTGCAGCCTCTTGAAAGGGACTGTGGCCGTTCAGTTGTTTTCAGTCAGGCCCAACTCTTCGTGACCCAGTTTGAGGTTTCTGGGCAAAGATACTGGAGCGGTTTGCCATTTCCTTCTCCAGCTCATTGACAGAAGAGGCAAACAGGGTCACACAGCTAGCAAGTGTCTGAGGCCTGATTTAAACTTAGGAAGATGCGTCTTCCTGACTCCCGGGCTGGCACTCTATCCACTGCACCACCTAGCCACCCCTGGACTGGCACCCCATCAGCAAGGATTTTTCTGTTTAAGCTGACAATATAGGTGAGCCAGCAGATGTAGAGCTGTAACTAGGATTATTTGCACCTCCGGCAAGGAGAAGCTGGGGAGAAAGGTCACCTGAGGAGGAAGTGAACCCTGACTTACTACAAGGTTTCAGTGCACCCCTGTTGAGGAAGCAAAGAAGCAAGGTGGTTGGGGACCACAGGAGCAATGGCCTGGGGGCAAAAATCTGGTTCTAGGGCAAAGCTGCCGTCACTCAAGGGGAGGAGGATCTCTTCCGAGGTGCAGCTATCTTAGAAGTGCCCCAGACTACGGATAAAGCCCCGACTGTCCCACCCTAGTTACAGTTCTGAATAGAGGGAACGAGCAGCCCCCCGGATCGGAGCCCAGCTCTTGTCTGCCCCATTCTCTTCCCCTACTCTCCCCTTCTGCCCCTCATCCCTGCACCCCCAGTTCAGCCCCCCCGAGGCATCTGGGCACCCCCTTACTCAGACACCCTCACTGAGCTCCGCGTCCTCACACAGAGCCCTCAGAGACCCTCCCAACACAACATCCCCATCAAGTGGTCTGCTACAAGACCCCCAAGAAGCCCCGGCTGGGGGGAGGGGTCTGACCTCAAGCCCAAATCTGCCTCTTTGCAACGTCCCCCCGAGCCCAGCCGAGCAAGGCTGCACCGTCCTCTAGCAGCGCCTTCTCCAGGGGCTGTCCGCCGGCCCAGGGGTGCCCGGCCCTGAGCCCCATCTTCCCCTGCGCCCGGACAAAAGCCTTAGGGAAGCGCCCGCCCCCAGCGGGGGGTCTCGCGGAGTGCTTCCGCTTCGCCCCCCCCAACATCCCCCGGTCCCGCGGCCCTCCCCTCCGCACCTGCCTGTATCCCGCCCCCATCCTGTCCATCACCACAAAGGCCCGCCCCTGGCACCGGCCTGTGGCCCCCCCATTCCCTTAGGCCCCGCCCCTAGCACCGGCCGTCCTCCTCACTTCCTGGTCCTGTCCATCACCCGGAAGGCCCGCCCCTGGCACCTGCCTTTCGCCTCATTCCCCAGCCCGGTCTAGCCGCATAAAAGCCCTCCCCAAACCCCGCCCAATACCCTGAGGGCCCGCCTCCAGCACCTGCTTTTCTCCGCTCCTCCGCCCCGCCCCTCGGGGGGCGGGGCCAATGCCCGTTTTGTACCGAGGCGGCCAGGCTGTGGCTGGGCTAAACCGTCCCTTCGGCGGCTGCCAATGGAGGCCAGCTGGAGGCGGGACTGGGCCGCGCTGAGAGCCAATCATCTGCTTCTGGAGGGAAGGGCCCTGTGGCTTCTGGGTACCGGAGTGGTTGTCCCTCCCCTCGTCCCGGAGCCCGGGAAAACCCGGAGCGGGGAGCAGACCGAGCCAGGCCGGGCTGGGCCGGGCCGGGCACAGCCGAGCGGGGCCGGGCCGGAGTCGGCGTCTCGCGGAGCGCCTCCGCTCCTCACAAGGTCCCCTCAGCCCGACGCCGCAGGGACCGGGCCCAGGGGGCGGGAGCGCACCCGGGAGGTGGGTGACGGGGATTGCTGGGGGATGCTAGGGGAACCCCCGCGCCCCTTCCTCCTCTCCCCCACTTTTGTGGGTCCTCCAGCCCTTCTCGACCCTTGACCCCCCCTCCCCCGCTCTTGGGCTCCATCCTCTCCCTCTCTTGTCCCCCCTCCCCTATTCTTGTTCCCCCCTACTCTTGTCCTCCCCTCCCCCACTGCTGTCCCCCTCCCCTACTTTTGGTCCCGTTCCCCTTGTCTGGTCCACCCCCCGCCCTTGACTCCCCCTCCCCGTTCTTGGGGGTCAACCCCTCCCTGGCCTCCACTCCCGCAGTCTGGTGGCCCCCTCCCCCTCTCCCGCCCCACGGGGTGCCCCCCTTGCCCCTCCCCTCCCCCACTCAGTGGCTTCCCCATCTGCTCCCTTTGTGTCCCCACCTGCCCCAGCGCCGCCTCCCTCGTAGCTCCCGGCGGCCCCTCCTTTCCTCCATCATCTTCCTCTCCCCCGGGTCCTCCTGCCATCGCTCTCCTCCTCATCTCTTCCTCACCCCATCTAGCCCCTCTCCATCTTTCTTCCTCCAGCCCCTTCCCTGCTTTGCCACTTAGGATCCAGGTGACTTTGGAGAAATCTGTCTGTAAAGAACGTTGGACCAGATTGTAGGTCAGATGGGATAGTGTTAATAGGTAATATTAGCACGAAGTAAAGCGCTTGGTCAAGATAGCATTGCTAACAGTGCTGCGCACAGTAGGCACAGCGGCTCATAGTAGGTGCTGCATAAAGGCTTCTGCTCCCCTGTAAGATCCCTTCCAGCTCTCCCTACCTCTTTTATTCTTCCTCCCCTCCTCTCCCCTGCCTGCTTCTCTTGCCCTCTTGGTCCTCTCTCCCATCGCTTCCCCACGCTGGCCCTTCTCCATCCATCCCCACCTCCCTCTTTCCTTCTCTTGGCCCTGCCCACCTGTCTTACGTGGCTCCCCACTTGCAGGTACCCCCGAGAAGCCATGGAACTGGGCGGCAAGAAGAAGCTTCACGCCCTGTCCCTGGCAGAGAAGATCCAGGTGCTCGAGCTCCTGGATGAGTCCAAGATGTCCCAGTCGGAGGTGGCCCGACGTTTCCAAGTCTCTCAGCCTCAGATCTCCCGGATTTGCAAGAATAAGGAGAAACTGCTGGCGGACTGGTGCAGCGGCACAGCCAACCGGGAGCGCAAACGCAAGCGAGAGTCCAAGTACAGCGGCATCGACGAGGCCCTCCTGTGCTGGTACCATATCGCGCGGGCCAAGGCCTGGGACATCACGGGCCCCATGCTGCTGCACAAAGCCAAGGAGCTGGCTGACCTCATGGGCCAGCACTTTGTGCCCAGCATCGGCTGGCTGGTGCGCTGGAAGCGCCGCAACAACGTGGGTCTGGGGGCCCGCCACGGCCTCCCTCCTCCTCCTCTTCCTCCTCGGACTTCCCCAGAGCCTCCTCCCCTGGGCTCTGACCCCCATACTCCCATTACCCTGAAAGACTTTTCCCCAGATGATATATTTGGCTGCACCGAGGTGCCCTTGTTGTATCGGGCAGTCCCAGGTAGGGTGGTGTCGAGTGATCAGTTACAGGTGTTACTGTGTGCCAACAGTGGAGGGACAGAGAAGCGTCGGCTGATGGTCGTGGGAGGCCGTCAGCCTTCTCCGCGGTGCTTCTTTGGGGTCAGCAGTGAGGCCCTGCCTGTCCTCTACCGCCCAGGCCCAGGGATCCCATGGGCAGACTGGCTGGCCCAGTTGGACCAGGACATGGGGCAGCAAGGCCGACACGTGGCCTTGTTGCTGACTGCCCACCCGGCCAGGCAGGGTGCAGACCTGCCTGAGCTTCAGCACGTGAGGCTGTTGCCTCTGCCTGCTGATGGTACCATGCCCTGCTTACCCACTCCGGTGGTGCGGGACTTCAAGACCCGTTACCGGCACCGCCTCCTGAGTAAGCTGGCCGCTCTCCGAGGGGAGACAGAGGGCACGTCTCTGGCCGATGCTGGGGCAGGCATCACGGTGCTCGATGCCTTGCATATGATGGCAGCCGCCTGGGACAGAGTGCCCGCCAGCTTCATCAGGAGCAGCTTTGCCCTCGCTGGCCTATGGCCCAGCAGAACTGCTCCGTCTACGAGAGAAGTGCCCAAGATGCCCCCCCTGCCCGATGGACTGAGACCTGAAGAATTTTCCCGTTTTGTGGACCTGGAGGGTGAGGAGGCAGACAAGGGACGATGCAAGGAAGAAGTGATCAGTGAGGGCGAGGAGGAGAACAGGGACGACGGCTTCGTGCCTCTGCCGACCAAAGCAGATGCCTTGCGGGCACTGGGCACCTTGCGGCGATGGTTTGAGTGTAACGGAGCTTCCCCTGAACTTTTTGGGAAATTTTATGACTGTGAAGAGGAGGCAGAACGCATGTGCTACCAGTGAGGGCCCCCCAGGCCCATCAGAGTCCCCACCTTCTTGTTTCCCGTGGAAACGCTCACAGAGGGCACTTGGGGATTTCTTTCCCATGGAAATAAGGCTTCTTCATGTTGAGAGGAGAGAAGCTGGGACACCCAAGGCCAGGCTGTGAAGGCTTCTTCATCCTTGAGCAGAAGTGGCGCAGAGAATTCTGAATATATTGCCTAGTAATACTTTAACCCTCTTGGAAATTCTAGGGTATTAGACCAGAAACCACCAACAGGGAAACTAAGAGCTTGGGTATGGGGAATCTACTAGGCTTTACAGGCAGCATGAGAACTCCATGAATTCTGTTTTTAAAACCAATTCTGCTGGTGGCAATCAAGGCTTAAAACGGGGAGCCTGGGTGGCATTTGTACAAGACCAGAGGGATTCGGGCAGTCGGCAGAGGGCGGGTCGCCGACACCTTCCCAGCTCCCAGGCTGAGCCTTTCAGCATTGACTCCAGATTGCTGCCTTTCCCCCCCCCCCCCCCCCCCCCCCCCGAAGATCATGGTGGGTGGAGCTGCAGCTCAGGCTTCCAATCAGGACGAGTCAAAAGAATATTCTTTCAGAAGGATTCCAGAGCACCTCAAGTGAAGGGGAAGCCACATTAACCACTCGGTAGCACATATCCCCAGCATGAAAAGATTGAGTCCAAGAAATAACTGTCAAGTAGCTAAGGAGAGGAGTGGTGTACCAGGGAGTCCTACAGAGAAAACAAGAGTGAATGGTCCTTTGGCATGTCAAGGCCAGGGCCCTAATTTTCCTAAAGAAAGTTTTCAGCTCTTGCTTCTTCCTTGGCTTTTTGTAGACATCTCCTTTCCCTAGGAGAAACAGGTCAGGGGGCTGACCGCCTGATGAGGACATCTGGCCAGTCCTGTTACTCTTTCAAAGCTCAGAACTTCTAGACTAGTGGAGAGGACACTGGTGACCAGGGAAGAGACAGACCTTCTAACTCAACCTGGGTCTCCAAAGTCACTGTGGGTCAAGGAAAATAGCAGACTTCCTTTGCTACCCTAAAGGCCGAGGTGTGCATTGGTACCTGTATAGGAAGTACGTTCGCATAAAAATCACTGAGTCCGACTGATATTGGGAGAGCTCTGCCAGATGACTTTGGGCACATCACCCTCTGCACCTTGGAGCTCTGGCTGTAAGATCGCCTCAAACCAAGAGCCCGAAGAGAAGTCACCAGCTGTAAAGGGCAGAGTTTCAAGGGATTTTTGTGTTTTTCTTGCCAATCCTGGGGTAGTAAATGACTAAGGAGAGCAAGATGGAGAGTGTGGGAGGAAATCACGGCCTGGGGTTGCAGCTATCCTCACTCCCTGGGTCCAGGGAGTGGTCTATCACCCCAAATGATGCACTGGGCCCTAGAAAGGCTCCTAGCTTCAGGGACAAGCCAGCCTGGGAAAAGCCTGCCCTTGGCACTTACTCGACACCAGCATCTCCTTGACCCTTAATACTGGGTTTGGCTATGGGTATGGTGGTCTCAGCGCATTCATTTTTTTAAAGCAATAAGCAACCTTATGATTATTCATTTACAACTTTATACAGATTTGTTATTCAGCTAGAATGGGGGAGGAAGGAAGCATTCAATAGTTTGAGGACAGTCCCTTGTTCCAGGGTACTTTGGGATTCAAGACTACACAGGTATGGTTTTCCTCCTCATCCCTCCTTTTTTCGCCCCAAGATTTTGAGCCACTGTAAGAAAATACTCCAAAACCCCTTGAAATTTCCATTTCAGACTTTAGGTTAGGCAGTGCCCTGCTGTCACTGACCCGCTTTGTTACAGGGCTCAGGAGGAAGAACCCAAAGGAAAACCATAGCCGGGAGTGTCTTCTGAACTAATAATGAGATCAGACGAGTAAGAGCTGCAAGGGAGCATGGGGTCCACTGTTCCCTTTACGGATGATGCTGGGAAGCTCAGCAATGACTTGCCCAAGGTTACATAGCGAGGAAGTAGCAGATCTAGCAATCAGCCAAGCCAGGATCTGAACCCTAGTCTTCTGACCCTGTAGCTAGTGCTCTCTAGGTAGAATCAGAGTAATCTTTCCCCTAGAATTACCGAGCTGGAAGGTCATCTTCTCTGGCCCCTGCCTCTAGGAAGGTCAGGGATGAACTGATTTCTATTTTTAAAAGGTCTTCAAGAATAAAGATTCTATTTCCTCCCTCAGGAGCTTTTCCAGTGTTGAGTTTTCTTACAGGCACATGGTTCTTCCTTGGATCTAATCTTAATTTCTTGGTGAAACATAATAGCCTTGACCTCTCTTTTTGTCCTCGCTGGAGATAAACTAGTTAATGTTCTAGGCTCGTGAGAATTCCTTATATTTCCGGAGACGCCCATGAAGTCTTTGCTTGGCCTTCTATTTTCCACAATAATGAGCTTCCATGCTGCTAGTCTTTCTCCTCAGGGCTTATGTTTCTAACCCTTTGATTTCCTTACCATTTTTAAAATGTAGAAACCCAAATCAGACACAGGGTTTGACCAAGGCCAAGGCAAATGTAAGGAAGAGCTACTCTCCAGCTCGTATGTTAGCAGGAAAGATACTGGCTCATTCGGTTTCTGGTCCACTAAGACTAGAAAGAGGAGAAGTGAAGGGGAAAGGAATGAGCCTTTATTTATGACCCACCCCCACCACTTATGCCAACCTCCAGCAGGGTAGAGGAGGCGTCGGGTTCTCAACTGTGGTGCATCAGCTGTAGCAGGTCCTACCAGGCGAGAAAGGCTTCGGGTGTGAACTCAGGGTCGGGCTTGCTGTCCGCTGAGGACAGGCCTGTCTCCTGGCTGGCTGCAGTGGGAGATGTTTTTTGGCCACACGTGGCAACTTTTGATGATATTCTCTTAAGCCCTAGGGGAGGGACTGGGATGTGAGGCAGTGGTCAGACCCAGATCATACAAGTAAGCACGCATCACCTCCCTCTCTCGGGATCCTCATCGAGAGCTGGAAGGGCCCTCAGTGGCCATGCAGGCCACCACCATCACCCTGCCCCCGGCACCGTACAGACAAGGCAGGTGAGGCGCAGAGCAGTCTGCTGGTTGTCCTGTATGCTTGCCTGTGTTCCCTCCATCCCATTCTTGGTGGGTCACTTCTATCCAAGCCAGTTGGAACCCGATTCCTGCCACCAAAGGAACAAGTCATTTTGCCCAGTTTAGGTAGTGGAGGCAGATTGGCTGGCCTCCTTCCTCCACTGCGGACACCAGATTTGGGGTACCAAATTGGGATTCAGTCTCTCAGAGTTAGGACTTGCTGGGGGAGCAACTGACACCACCCAGAAAGCTCAGCTCAGGAGCCGGAGGAGATGCTCGTAGCTGAAGAAGGTCACGGCATTGACAGGAAAGGCCCGGGCGCTGTTGAGGGTCAATCCCTTGAAGAAGACGCCTGGCCCTTCTTGCCGAGCGCTGCTCACCATGCAATCTAGCAGCCCCCGGTACTCTCGCTGCTTAAGCCCATCCATTTGCATCCGTGCCTTGACCACATCCAAAGGAGTGGCTGTGGTCCAGGATATTATCCCTGCAAAGCCTCCAGCCACCAGCATTGTAGCTGAGCCTGCAATTGACAAACAGAGAAGAAAGACCTGAGAGCCCAAGTGTTTCCTCCTCTGAGTGCTGCCATCTTGGAATGAGGGCATCCACCTTCCTGTCCCATCATGGAAGCAGCAAAGTGTCGTATCTCTTTCCCTACACACCCCTGCACATTCCCACCCCACCCCCACATCCTCTAGCCATGTTGTAAAAATGAGGTGTTCGGCCCCTCCTGCCCCTCCTCCTCCCTACTGAGCCTTTACTCACCAGGTTCCTTACTGTCTGAAGTAAGCCACCAACTGAGACCCTCATAAGTGAGAAAATAGAGGCCCAGAGTAGGTGTATCCCTCAGTACCAGAGCCCAAGCTCCCCGAAACAAGCCCTGGGGCCCCTCCTCCCGGAGGATGGTCCTGGCACAGTGCAGGGGACCCCTGTACTGGGATGGGGCCACTCCCGGTCGAGCCCGGGGCTCCGTCTGGTTCTGCAGTCGAACTTTGATGAGGTCAAAAGGAGCCAAGCAGTAGGCCTACAGGGAAGGAGAGGAGACCAGTTGGGAGGGGAAGCTGGTCAATAGCAGCCTGATGAGAGACCCACTCTCCCATTCATCAGTGGAGCATACAAGGGAGAACCAGGTAGAGAAAGCAGGAAGGTGTATGAACTACACTTTAGGAAGATAACAGATTGGGGAGCCATCAGTGATGAGTCCTCTGACCCCAAGTCCAGGGTTCTTCCTATTTGGACCCCTGACCCTTGACCTCACTCAGCATTGTGCTATTCCAGTCAGCTGTATCAGTCCCAAAGACTCCTAGTGACATGCCTTCACGACATTCCTCCCTTGGTTACCTCTGTGGCCTCCAAAGTCTCAGGACCTCGGTGCCTCAACAGCCTCCCTCACACAACCCCTCCTGCTCCTAGCTCCACACTTCTGAGTGTGGCAGGCAAGTGAAAGTCTTGGCAATTAGCAGTACTAGAAATCTTCAATAGGAGGCTGAATTAGAGAGAAGATTGTGGAAGCTTGTAGACTGGAATCATTGAGATTAGCATGTGGGAATCTCACCAGCCTGGCACCAAAGGGATGGAGTAGTGATGGGGGCTTCCATTATCCAGACATAAACTGGAGCACTCTCTGACCGAAACAGGACGACGAATACTTCCTGATTTGCCTTAATGATCATTTCATCCTTCAAAAGGGGAAAATGCATGTGGAATCTGATTCTAACTAACAGGGAGGAAATGGTTAATGGGGTGGAAATGGCGAGAACCTTAGTGGGGAGTGACTACTTCCTCCTAGAGTGTGTGACAGAGGAAAGGAAACCCGGAAACAATATGACATACACCCTAGGTATGAGGAAAGCAGATTTTAGAGGGTTCAGAGGAAGGCTGGTATACAATAGGGAGAATCTTACGGACTCACATTCTACAGTGGAAGTCAGACCAGAAGGAATAGGAAATGCTAAAGAATGAAAAGTGATGACACCAACACTTACTAGCTGTGTGACCCTGGGCAGGTCACTTAACCCCAATTGCCTAGCCAAAAAAAAAAAGTGATGACACAAATTCCAATGAGGAGGAAATATGGGGTGTGTCTGAAGAGGACTCTAATCCACTTAGATTTTTAAAACATATACATTAATAATAACTAGCATTTACATAGTGCTTTAAGGTTTACAAAGCACTGTACACATTTCACTTAACCTGTAAGGTAAGTGCCCTTATTAGGCCCATTTTACAGAAGAAGAAGACTTGTCCAGGCTCATGCAGCTAGTTGAGTGTCTGATATGGATTTGAGCTCGCCTTGTTTTTCTGGCTGCCGCAAGGGGCACAGTACTCTCACCCACTTCACCACCTAGCTGCCTAGAAGGTAGAAGCAAGGTCAGGGATCCCAAGATGGATACAAGAGTTTGGAACAGTCCGATAAAACTGGCGTCAAGATTGCTGAAGCTTAGAAGCAGCTGGGGCTGAAGAGGGAAGCTAAGGGCACTGCAAAAGGGATGGGATGTGAGAGGAGCTGCACCAGGGAAGATCAAAGAAGAGACAGGACGATAACCAACAACAGAGGGGGAGTTTGCTTCTCTTTCTCTGCCGGGGATAAAGTGGCTCCCCAAGAGTTGATATCAAAGATAGGAAAGAAACGAGTCAGCATGCACCTGGCAGCCCTTGAGAAATCCTGCTGAATTCTATCCTTGGGTCCTGAGAGGAAGGGCAAGCATGATTGCCAAGCCCCTCAATGACATGTGAAAGGTCATGGAAAATGATGGAAGGGTGAATGTCCCAGGGTTCAAAAATGGAAGAAGTGAGCTTGACTTTTAATTCCTGGGAAAGCCCTGGGACCGATCATTAAAGAGACGGTTGGCAAACATTGAGAAAAGGAAACTGTGTCTATACAGAGCCGGCCTGGTTTCCCCAAGGACAGGTCATGACAGACTGACCCCATTTCCCTTTTTGACAGAATACCGTGATTTTAGCAAAGTATTTGATAAAGTATCTCTAAATATTCTTGGATAAAAAAATGTATAGGCTATCAATAACACAATTTGATGAATTAAGAATTAGCTGAAAGAGCAGCTACAAAGAGCAGTCATTAATGGATCGATATCAGCTTGGCAAGATGTCTCCAATGGAGTGCCCCAGGGCTCTGTGCTTGGCTTTGGTATGCTTAACATTTGTATTCGTGAACTATGTAAGTCACAGAAGGCATGTTCATCATATTTGCAGATGACACCCTTGAGAGCAGAATCAGGATCCAAAAAGATGTTGAAACCCAAAGTATCACACTCTAGTAAGATGAAATTCAACAGACACAAAATGTCTTACAATTGGGTACCCAAGAGCAGGGTAAAGTTTCCTGGTTAGACAGCAGTTTGTCTGAAATAGATCTTGGGGTTTTAGCGGACAGCAACCTCAACATGCCAGCCAGGAGAGATGGGACTTTGAGCTGCCTGGGAAGGGACAGAGAAACGGAGGAGAGAATCCCACAGTCCTCTGCCTTTCTCCGACTTCATCCGGAACGCTGGGGTTAGCTCTGGACACCACAGGCTACCAATATGCTGGAGAGTGTCCAAAGGGGGGCGACCAATATTTATTAAGCACCTACTATGTGCCAGTGTGGAAAGCACTGGGAGTACAAAGAAAGCCAAGAGACAGCCCTGCCCACAAAGAGCTCACACTCTTAAGGAGGAGACAACATGGAAACAAATACATAAAAACAAGCTCTAAACAGGATAAACAGGAAATAATCAGCAGAGAGAGAAGACACTAGACTTCAGAAGTGTTGGGGAAGGCCTCTTGTGGAAGGGGGGATTTTAGTTGGGTCTTAAAGGAAGCCAGGGAAGCCAGCAGGCAGAGATGAGGAGGGAAGGAATTCTGGGCATGGAGGCAGCAGAGTGGGGAAATGGAGGCTCTTGTCTGTGGAACAGCCAGGAGGCCGGTGTCACTGGAGGGAAGATTCCGCTATTCGGGGTAGGTGGAAGAACAATGGGAAGGGAGGAGGGGACAGGTGATGAAGGGCTTTGAATGCGAAGCAAGGCGTTTTGTATTTGGTCCTGAAAGTAATAGGGAGCCACTGGAGTTTATGGAGTAGGGGGTGACACAGTCAGACCCATGTTTTAGGAAAATCACTTTGGTGGGTGAAAGGGGCAGAGGATAGAGTGGATAGAGTGGAGGGGACAGAAGTATTCGCCAGGCCTCATCAGCAGGTTGGATATGGAGGGGGGAGATCGTGAGGAGTCGGGGATGACGATGCCAGGATGTTGGCACGAGGATTGGCTGATGGCACTTGGCACATCGGGCCTGGATCAGAGAGGACTAGGTGGGGGTTAGGGTGGGGGACAGCACAGTAGCTGTCTTCAAATATGTGAAGGGCTGTCAGACATCCAGTAGATTAGACTTGTTCTGATTGGCCCAGAGAAGAGAATCAGGAGCTTTGGGGCCACGCTGAAGAGGCCAGTTGGGACTGGATGGGATGGGCAGGGTTACCCCAGCAGAGGCTGATATTCGAGGGGAGATGCCAGCCATGGGCTGCACTGGATGGCTGCTAAGCTGTCCTGCTACCTAGAAAAGTGAGGTTCTGTAGCAGAGACGAGGACCTGAGGCCTTGATTAGGCTCGGGAAGAGGGGCCTCAGGCCTCAGCCATTTGATAAGTTCATAATAAAAGCTCAATGATATAACACTTGAAGTTTTGCCAAGTGTCTTCCTCACACAGGCCTCCCTCCCCATCAGGACATGTACTGATTGTTCCCATGTCTCGGATGAAGAAGCCGACTCTTGTTCACTGTCACACAAAACCCATGCCCTTGACTTCATCTCTCTTTACTGCCCACGCGCCTTCTCTGCTAAAACCTCAGGGATGGCCAGGAGGCACTGGCCCAACTCAGGCTGGTGAAGACCAGGCCCTAAAGAGAAGCAAGGTTAATAGTGAAATGAGGGCCCGGTTGGCTTTGGTGGGTGCATCGGCACAGATCCTGAGCTCAAGAGAAGGGCGGGGCACATGGGACTGAGGTTCCAATGGCGGGGGTAACCTGATTTTTGCAAAAACTCTAAAACCTCAGCTCTCCTTAACCAGAAGACAACAAGCTATCTGCTGTGTCAAGAAAACAACGGACCTGTTTATTGTTAGGCCAGCCAACGCTCCGGGTCCCTCCTTCTGGCCCTCCCTGGCTGATGCCTCACCTGACAGTATCCATTGTTCCTCATCATTGAGCCTTGGCAGACAGGTGGTACAATGGATAGAGCACCCAGCCTGCAGTCGGGAAGACCTGAGTTCAAACTCAGCCTCAAATACTTCCTAGCTGTGTGACCCTGGGCAAGTCACTTAAGCCTGTTGTCTCAGTTTCCTCATCTGTAAAATGAGCTGGAGAAGGAAAGAGTATCTTCCTCTCCAGTATCTTTGCCAAGAAAGCCCCAAATGGGGTCACCAAGAGTTGGACAAGACTGAAACAACTCACAGCAGACAAGCAGTCGCCTCTCTGAGGGCCAGCTCCCTCTCACGCGTTCCCGAGCTCCCACTGTTACAAAGCCCTCCCCTCTGTCCCGTCCTTCCCCTCCAGCCTCCCTTGCACCGCTCAGGCTCCCTCCAGACTTCTCCTGCTACCTTCGTTTTCATACCAACACCCTTCTCCTTTTCTAAGGAAGGCTCCATCCCCGTGACCTTGAGAGTGGGGAGCAGGCGCCGAGCAGCAAGGGGAACCTTTCTAGGAAGGAGGCCGGCCTGCACTTAGAGCCTAGATCACAGAGCTGAAAGGGCCCTTGGAGCCCTTCGTTTTGGGGGGTGACGAAAACAGGCTCAGAGAGTGATTTGCCCAAGGTCATGCAGGTAAGTAATTTACAGGGTCAGGATTAGACCCCAGATCTTCTGTCTCCATGTCCACTACACGACACTGGTTTCTATCTTCACAATTTTGCTCATAGCCGACCCCTACCTAGCCCTTCCCAACTGTCTAGTGCACGTGCCATAGGGTAGCAGCCCCCACCCCCTCCTGTTGCCGTTCAATCCTGTCTGGCTCTCCGTGACCCCATTGGGGGTTTTCTTGGCAGAGATACTGGAGGGTTTGCCATTTCCCTTCTCCAGCTCATTTTACAGATGAGGAAACTGAGGCAAACAGGGTGAAGTGAGTTGCCCAGCGTCACACAGCTGGTAAGGGTCTGAGGTCGGGTTTGAACTCAGGAAGATGAGTCTTCCCGACTCCAGGCCCAGCGCTCTGTGCACCGTGGTGCCCCCTACTGTCCCTATTCCTGCAGAGGGCAGCACCATCCTTCCAGTCCTCAGGATCCCAAGCTAGGGTCCTCCTGGACTCTCTCACCCCCCCATATTCACGGTGTTCCCAAAGCCTGTCTATACCACCTCTGCAGCATCTCTGGGACATGCCCTCTTCTCTCTGCCAAGGCCCCTCCCCTGACGCAGGCCCTCATCCCCTCACGCCTGGCCTAGTGCAGGGGATGCCGGTGGCTCTGGTGAGCTTAGGAAAATGACTTGGGAGCTGGACGAAGGCTAAAGCAGGCCCCAAATCTAGGGTCCCAGCCTTGTTCGGGAGGACGCCAGTCTGGAGGCTTTGGGGAGGTTAAGGGTGTGTACCTCCAGCCAAGCTGGGGATGAAGAGAAACTTGAACCTTTTTGGGGGGTCATTAATCATTAACCGCAACAACCACACCCTTTGTCATCAGCGTGGACTGTGATCCTCATTAGGAATGAGAAGTGTGCACTAAACGGAGACTTGCTGAAGGGTGCCTGAGGACGGAGCCAGGAAATGCCATGAATGGAGAGCAGAAGGCTCGCTAGCTCCCTGAGCCTCAGTTTCCTCATCTGTCAAATGGGTTCAATAAGACTCACAGTCCTGGGGTAAGAAAAGCTTTTTAGAAAGCTCTGAGTGCCGTCTGTCTAAATGTCGGCTCTTCCACTCTGATCCCTCACCCAGTGAGAAGAGCCGCACATGTGGCACGGCACAACACTTGGTAGTTACTTACAGCACATGCTGTTGTCGCTGTTCAGTCTGCCTCTTGGTGACCCCATTTGGGGTTTTCTTGGCAGAGACACCAGAGTGGTTTGCCATTTCCTTCTCCAGCTCATTTGACAGATGAGGAAACTGAGGCAAGCAGAGTGACGTGACTTGCGCAGGGTCATACAGCTGGTATGTGTCTGAGGCCAGATTTGAACTCAGGAGGATGAATCTTCCTGACTCCAGGCCCAGCTCTATCCCTGCACTTGGTAGGTGCTTAACAAACATTTATTGATGATAGACTGATGTTTGCTCCCTCCTAGATCTTGACTCGCTCCAACCCCACCCCCAAAAGGCTCATGAAATAAAGATCCAGGACAAAGACCAAGACAAAGTTATCTAAGTTACCTAATGATTAATATCCTCCCACCTCTATCCCCAGACCTGTGGAACTAAGTGTTCATTAATAAGTCGGCAGAGCTACAGTGCCAGGGCTGCTGGGTACAGCCAGGAAGGAGCTGGGACTAGGGCAAAGAGAAGGAAGGATGTCAGGGTTACCCTTCAGCAAGGCCTTAAGCCTGGTGCTGGGCACGTGGCTATCAGCGTCACATTGGGGGGGGGGTTCTCAGTCTAGGTTTGTAATAGGATATAGTAGTTTGACAATTCAGTGTTTTAAAAATACATTTATTGGGCACTTACTGTGTGCCTACGACTGTGCTAAGTGCTGAGGGTACAAAGACAAAAATGCCAGGACCTCAAACTCTCTTGGGGATTAGAGTCTGCACTTAGATAAATGGGTACAAGATCCTCTAGGAGGAGAGTGAACGCTAGCGACCGAGGGGATCAGGAAGGGTGGAGGCCACAGGGAGGGGCGCCTAAGATGAACCTTGAAAGAAACTAAAGAGTTGAAGGGGTGGGAGTGGGCAGGGACGGCTTTCCAGGCCTGGAGGTTGCCTAGGGCAAAGGTGCAGAGGTGGGATGCCCAAGGCCAGGGAGCAAATAGACCAGTTTGGCTGGCACAGAGTCTATGTGAGGGGGATGAATAAGAAAGTCTGGCTGGAGCCAGATTGTGAATGGGCTGAATGTGAAAAAGCTGAGCATTCCAATGTAAACTCCTTGAGGGCAGGAACTGTCTTTTGGCTCTTTTTGCATCCGCAGTGCTGAGCACAGTGCCTGGCACAAAGTAGGCACCTCATAAGTGTTTACTGATTGACTGACTGAGCAGTTTATATAAAAAGGAGAGAGGGGGCCACGATCTGGAGCTAGAGACGGACTTGGGCACACATGGGCAACTGGGTAGAGAAGACAGCACAAGGAGGGGAGAGCGATGAGGGGCTGCAGCTGCTGATGGAGGGCAGTGGCCCCAGGAGTGGACAGAGAGGACGGGACACAGGACCCAGGAGAGCTTGAACTGCCACATTCAGCAACCAAGAAGACATAGAGGGAGAAAGAAGAGTTGAGCAGCACCCCAAGGCTGCACACCCAGATGGCAGGAAGGACGGTACTGCCATCACTAGGAATAGGAGAGTATGGGAAAAGGGTGAGTTTAGGGGAGAAAACGAGTTGCTGGCAGCACGCTCAATTTGAGATGCCAAAGGCATCTGGTGATGAGGGAATGGTGCTCGGGGGTGGGGCTGAATCTAGAGATGAGAATCATTCGGGTAGAGAAGATGATTAACTCCATGGGGGGCGGGGCACGAGATGGCCAAGGAAGTGAGTGTAAAAGGAGAACACAAGAGGCTCCAAGTAGCACCCCAAAGGACACTCGTGGTTGGGGATGGGAGGAGGAGGATGGGAGGAGGGGGATGAGGGGAGGGGGATGGGAGGAGGCAAGCTAGGAGAGGGCCAGGCCACTGAATCAGAGAGAAGAAAGAAGTGGAGGCAGGTGAGGAACGAGAAGAGAGTGGGCATTACTCATTGGAGCACAGACCTAGAGCCAAAAGTGCTCTCATTCAACTCTTTCATTTTACAGAGGAGGAAACTGAGACCCAGGGAGACCAGGCGACTGGCCCAAAGTCACACAAAGGTAGGGTGTGAACCCAGCTCCTCTGATTCCAAGGCCCCACACCGCTTCCAAATATTCATAATTATGAGGCAAGAAAACACTTCCAGAGTCAGGTGGTCCCACACGAGCAGATCAAACTGCCAGCACGTTAGCCTTAGGGTTAACCCTCCCTTGAGCCTTATATGCCCCAGTCTCGAGCCCCTTCACCAGCCTCTGAGCTCCTTCTAGTCACCTTTCAGTGCCCTCTGTCCCCTCGCTGGCGCTCTTCACCTCTAGAGCGTCCAGACCCCAGGCTTATGCAGACCGTCAATTTGACCAGTATTCCAAATGGGCTGACAGCCTCTAGAAGCTGGGAACAAGGCTCTCTCCTGACAATTCTTCATTTAACCCAAGTGGCAGCGGGCTTTGGGGTCTTCTGTAAGAGTGTGTGGGGGGAGGTTCAGGTTGCCTTCTACTGAGCAACTCTGACCTTACCTGCCAGAGAAGACGCCCTGAAGAGAAACATTTCCTTTTCTGATCATCCGTGGTGATGATAGCATGGAACACAGCGTCATCACCTGTCCTGAGCCCTAGCCCAAGGAAGGGATGGCCAGAAGATGTGGCCGCCTATGCGTGTGGACTCCAACACTGACGCCCTTCAGAGGGAGCAAGTCCAGCCTTCCCTGGTGGCCAGAATGGTGGGTCACACTTACCTGCACAAACCCTGCAATGCTGCCAGCCACAAAGATGTGGCCGTAATTAGGGGGCTGGGTCTTTCGGGCCTGGTGGGACGTGGAGCTGAGCAGGAGCAGGGAGTTGCTGTAGGTTCCAAAGAGGACAGAGTTGACCACAGCCACACTGCCGATGGGGAAACTCATTCCCTTAAAGAAGCCCAGGACCTGCAGGCAGAGACAGAGCCAGGCCTGGGCTGGAGATGGGCCTTGGTGGGTGTGCTCAGATGGGGCTGATGGGGCAGTCATTCCATTCAACCCACAAGCATTTGTTAAGGGCTTCCTATGGACCATACTTTGTCCTAGGGGCTGGGTACCAAAACCCCACCACCCAGTAGCCCCTGCTCTCAAAAGGTTGACATTCTACTTGAAACAGAGCCTACTCTTTGCCTACAGGGACAGGTAGAAATCTTGAAGTCCTACTAACTGTCCCAGAATGTCATCCCTGGAAATAACCCTGAGGTCATCTGGTCCAAAGCCCCTCATTTTACAGGTGAGGGAAGTGGGGCCCAGCGAGGGAGAAGAGTAAAGAAGAGAGGGGCCTGACCTGGACCAGAGGGTCCAAGCTTGAATCCCACCTGGGCCACTCACTACCTGTATGCCCCCTCAAGCAGGTGGCTTCGAGCTCTATGAGCCTCAGTTTCCTCATTTGTAAAATGAGAGGGTGGGATCAGATAATGTCTAAGGTTCCTTCCAGCTTTGAAACTTTGATCATGTGAGCCTAGGAAATTGCTGGGAAAGAACCCAGGTTTCTGAGTTTGCCAGGTGAGGTCCTTAGATCTTCCACGTGCTCTTTTATGGCACTCACCCCTCCCTCGCCAGCAGCCCAAACGTTATCTTATCTCTGCAAAAGTGACATTGGAGCTGGTGCTTAGGGGAGGGGAGGGGGGAGAAAAGACCTGCTCCTGCCCAAGCTGCCCCCTCCTCTTGAGAATCAGAGCTTCTTACGGACTCCCGGCGGTAGGTTTTGATGACACAGTCCACAATGCCCCGATACGTGTTCTGGGTCTGCAGCCGCACCTGCAGGCAGAGGAGACGCTGGGCTCACCATTAGGAGGACCGTCGAATTTGTCATGGGGGGCCTAGGAAAGGGGGTGTGCCATGGAGGAGACCTTCCGCCGCTCCCCACAAGTAAACAGGCCCCCTCATCAATGTTTGTGTCCCATTGCCCAGGAGCCAGCCCAGCTGCTAGAGCTGCTGCTCTGGGGCAGGATGCCTACTGCCAGATGGCATGGGAATCCACACCCTGACCCCAAGTGGTGCAAGCGTGCAGCCCCTGCTTCCAGGCGTCGGCCCGGCTTTTCTTATTCTCACCTTCACTGTGTCTAGGGGGTGTCCCAGTATCAAGCCCACAGCTCCTGCAGACAAGGAGAAAGAGCTAGGCCACGGGTCCACTGGGCCAGACCCAGAAAGAGAGGAGAAGGGAGCCAAGCACAGCGGCAACCTGCTCCTTCCTCCCCGTGAATCCAAGAAGAATGAGGCGCAGCTCCCTCTTCTCCAGCCCAGGGAGGACCAGGACACTCCTGGGTGCTCTCACCTGGCTGCCTCTGGCTCTCGCACCTTGCATTTTCCTGACCCCCCTCCCCAGCTAGGATTTCTTCTTCGTGGAATTCCTGATCCGGAAGGAACTTCAGAGAAGCCGTGAGAAAAAGAAATGCCGAGCGGGGAAAGACGCCCAGCTTTCCAACCTTGACTTTCTTCCCATCCAACCCTCTCGTCCCAGCCACAGGCTGCTCTTTTAGGCAGAGATTCTGAGGAGCGCACCTGACCTCCTGAAGACGTGGGGAGTCTGATTTTGAAAGCGGCATCGACTTTGGGGCCAGGGGGAGATCGGCTCCCTGTGACAAATTCCACTGTCCTCCCCCTACCTCCTAATGGTGAGCCCAGCGTCTCCGCTGCCTCCAGGTGCGGCTGCAGCCAGAACACGTATAGGGCATCGTGGACTGTGGAATCAAAACCTACCGCTGGCAGTCAGTGAGAAACTCTGATTCTCAAGAGGAGGGGGCAGCTTGGGCAGGAGCAGGTCTCTTCTCCCCCCTCAATTAATCCCTTAATAGTTTGGAGTGCTAAGAGGCCTGCAGGGAAAGTGGATGGAGGGCCCTGGCACTCACAGATGATGCCCACAGCTCTAGGGGCAGGTCTGCCAGGAGCCTGGGGTCCAATCTACCTTCCCCAGCTCCCAGAGTCCATCTAGACTGAGGAGGGGAGCGGAGTGCGAAGCCCTGGGGGCTGGGTCCTATACAGGCCCACCAGGCTACTAGGGACAGTTGATCTATGCCACGAGTGTAGTTCAGAACTGGAAAAGCAGCCTCCTTCTCCTGCTGTCCCCACAGCTGTGACTCTAACACAGACAGACCCAAGTCAGACTGCCCCAAGGGACACCTGCCCAGAAGGTCTCCTGTGGGCCATCTTCAGGTGGCGCTAGAGGGTGGCTGGGGAGATGGAAGAGAGGCAGGGGCCCAGGACAGGGCAATGCCTTTCTCTAACGGTGGATTAAATTTTTAACATGGCCAGACACAGGGAGTCCAGCCAGCGCTCCGCCTAACCGTGGCTTGTCACACTGGGTCTGGCCTTGGGACACAGCCCTCACTAATCTCTCTCTTTTCTCTCTTGTTTGCTCTCTCTTTTTCTCTCTCTACGGCTCCTCCTCTGCTGTCTCTCCTCTCTCTCATTCTCTCTTTACTCTCTGTCTCTCCTCTCTCATTTTCTCTCTGTCTCTCCTTCTCCAGAACCCCACACAGTGATGCCCCATTGAAAGGTACTCTGACACACAAGAAAGAAAAACTTCTCACCAGAGATCCAACCAGCCACAAACTCTTCCACAGGCATTTTCCAAGGCACACAGAGCCAGGAACCAGGGTGCTCTGGCGAAGCGGGTGAAGCTGGCCCAAGTGTAACTCAGCTCCTCCCACAGGCCTGAGCTGATAGCTTCTCACTAATGTTTAAACCTAGGTGCAGGGGGGTGAGAAATGGCCCAGTGCCCAGGCCCAGGGGCCTTGAAGGGAGGGACAGAGCCTGGATAAAGTGCAAGAAAAGAAGAAGGAAACGCTGAAATGTTCTCAGGGGCAAGGACAAGGAGATGACCAGGCCTCCCGGCGGGCTCCTGGCTCCGGGGTTCTAAACCACGACAGGAGCAGCTCTCTCCCTCACAAGCACACCGGATATCTGGTTACAGTTGTGCTTGGCAACATCCTGCCTCCCAGCCTGGGAAATCCTTAAGGACTTAACCACACGGCAGGCCCATCCCAAGCTAACACGGAAGCTGACGTCTGCCTCCCGAGCCTCTGCTGCCCCATTCACGTTGCCCTGCTCTCCCCTCCTGTCGGCAGCAGCTCGGTGGAGGTTCACCTCGAGGAGACTGACCAGGGCAGTCAAGGGGGCAGAGAGCCACTAGATGGCAATGCCAACTCACTGGAGGCACGGATCGGGGAGGAGGGCGGGGCATCCACGGGAGTCACCCACCAGAGTCCTGGATAGGCTGTTGATGCTGCCATGTCTGAGTGACTCAACCTTTCTTTGCAGGAGTCTGATGCCTGCCTGCCTCACAGGCCTTGTGCAGGGAGGGAGGCCCTGGAAAGGGGAAGGACCTTGTGTCCAGAGGCTGAGCTCCCCCATTGACCTTTGCACAGCCACAGCCCAAAACAAGGGGGAGGGCACCCGGGAAGCCCGAGGAGCAAAGGTAGGAGCTGCTGCCAGGTAGCACATCCCGGGAGAACCGTGGGTCCTCTCTTCCCCCAAAGCCCCGGACTCAAATCTGAGAGCCCTCTCGCCCATGATAACCAGACACTTCAGACAAGCAGCTGACCCTGTTTGACAGGCAGCTCCGCCAACCACTACCGACGTGCCCTCCTTCGAGCCCTTCTGGGCCTCCTTCCTCACCTGTAGGATCATAGCTGTAAAGCTCTAAAGCTGGCCGTTTGGCCAAACCCCCTAGTTTTACATATGGGGAAACCAAAGTCCAGAAAAGCTAAGAGACTTGGCCTAAGCCACCCAGGTAGTAAGGGCCAGAACCAGGCCTTCCATGGCTTTTCCTAACGGACTCCAGCTCCACCTGCCATCCCTTGCCCTTACCACACGTCAACCTGTCTTCTCTTCTGATTACGCGGTTTTTGGATGACATCTTTCAGAGCTGTTCTTTGGAGTACGTCGGTGTTCTTTGGTGTACACATTGGTATTCACAGAAGCAAATGCAAACTGGTCATTTCATGAGGGAGGGCAGGGGGGGCCTCCTGGAGAAGGTGGCCCTTGAGCTCAGCTTCCAAGGAAGCAAAGGATTCTAGAAGGGAGATGTGAGGGACACGGAGAGAGATGGAACCCTAGGAATGTGGAATAGCAAAAAGGCTGAATTGGCCTGAAGGGAGAATGGGTGAAGGAGAGATACATGGGGTCCTATGAAGAGTTTGTGCTTCATCCCAGAGGCAAGAGGGAGCTACTGAAAGTTCTTGACAGGGGAGTGACCCGGTCAGACCTGTGCTTCAAGAACAGCAGGGATGGACGAGGAACAAAGGGGCTGTGATGGGATACAGTCCTGCACGTGGCCTCAGGAAGACTGGGGTCCACCCTCTGTCTGACATTTACTGTGTGATCATGATCAAATCACACTCTGAGCCTTACTTTTCGGAGACATAAAAAGGGCATGAAGGGTTCCCCCTGTAGGATAAGACACCATCAAGAGTGTCATGAGACTGCAATGAGTTCATGTGGATAAACTGCCGGGAAAAACTTGAAGCAGCTTTGCGAACATGAGTTACATACACTATTACTGCCCTACATAGATGGGGGAGGAGGGGGCACTGTCTTCCCCATCTTCACAGGCCCCACGGAGGTCTTATCCGCTCCACCTGGAACATGCTGAAGAGGGAGGGAAGTTAGCTCTCCATTAGAATCTGCTGAATGCTTGAACTGGCCCTGAGGACCAGAGCACTGGCTGGATGGGAAGTGAGAAGATCTGGGTTCGAATTCTAGCCCTGCCACTTACTAGCTGGGACTTTGGGTGAATTGTTTAGCCAATTTGGGCCTCTTACCTCATCTATGAATGAAGGAGTTGGACTAGATCAGGGGTTCTTGACCTGGGACTCCTGACCTTGTGTTTTGAAAATAACACTTTTAATATAATAAGATTCCTCTGCAATCTTATATAGTTTATTTTACACGTTTAACAACATGATTCTCTAGTGGTTGCACCTATTGGTTCTAATTCTTCCTTACAACATCACTAATGTGAAAATGTTTAACAGGTATGTACAGTAGAGCCTGTATCAGATTGAGTTGCAGTCTTGGGGAGGGAGGTACAGAGGGAAGGGGAGAAAAATTTAAAACTCAAAAGCTTATGGAAGTGACTGCTGAGAAATCAAAATAATTAATAAAAAAAATTAAAAAAAAAACATGATTCTGAGAAAGGCTTCACCACAGCTTCTCCAAGCTGCCAGAGGAGTCCATGGCACAAACATAGCTTACAAACCCTTGGCCTGGACAGTCTCTGGGGTCCCTTCCAATTTTACAGCCTGTGGTCCAGCCCTGTCCTCACCAGTCTCTCATTGCTCACACAGCCCCACACACTTTCCCTTAGGACAGTGTGTCTTCCAGATGGAAGGACAAACAAGAAGAAAGGAACAAAGATCTCATATTCATGGGTAGAGGAATGGGCCCACTTCCAAGCCTTCTCCTAATCCTCACCCCAAGGGTTCTCCCCCATAGAGCTTTAGTCCCACTAAGGGAGCTGCTGCCTCCTCTTAGCTGAAGGCTGATATCCAAGATTTTCCCACGCTTGGCTTCCCTTGGGGTTGACTGACTTCATTCTGCCTCTGAAGTCACTACTTACCTCACAGCTTGTTTGGTGAAATAGCTCAGTGTCTACACTGAGATCTTTCATGGGAGTAGGGAGCTGAGAACAGAGACCAGGATCCTCCAACCCCTAGGTATTTCCTCTGGTGTTCCACCCATCCACTAGGGAAGGCTAGGAGAGAGAATGATTTGTACTGTGGAAGGAGGGCAGAGGTTCATCTAGTCCAGCCAGTAGCTTCCAGGCAGGAGTGACTCTGTCTCTTGCCCCAAGTTTCCAAGATTCCTGTTTCTTGACTATCACTATACTGGACCAATGCACAGCTCCTTCCTGAACAGCTAAAGATGTTCTTCTGTGACGTGTGGGGAAACAGAAACAGTAATAGAAATGACATGGGCTTCCTGTTCACCATCCTCCAATTAAGAAAATTAACCCATTTTCTTTCTTGTTTTTTGCTGCCATATAAAGGGCTGCTCTGAATACCTTGGTGCACAAGGGGACCATCCTTGAACTACTTCAGAAGTCCAGTAGTAGTCAATTAATCAATCAACAATTATTGTTTTCTGTGTGCCAGGCCCTGAGCAATCACTAGGTCAAAGCATATTAACAGTGTAGTGATTTTTCTCACACAATTAAAAATTATTTCCCATAATGATGATACCCATGCAATATATTTAACCTGTCTTCCCACAGCCCTTCAGTGTTGACTACTAACATCTTTGATCATCTTTCCCACCTTGGGATGTATGAAATGAAACTTCAGGTTGCTTTAGCTTGAATTTCTCTTGTTAGTGTTTTGGAGGCCTTTCATATGGTGGCTGATGGTATGCAATTCTTTGAAAACCACTCATCTCCTCTGACTTCTTATCTCTTTGCTTTCATTCATGCTTTCTTTTTTTTTTTTAATCTTACGCGAGTCTTGTCCATATCTTCTCACAAATCTTCCTTGCAAGATCTACCCAGCGCATTGGAAGTCTTCCTCTAGGTCTTTCAGCATCTTGTGGCTGTCTAAGCAGCACCTGGGCTATCCATCTCTTATCCTCTACCCTGATGGGTACCCGATCAGTCCACTTTCTTTTCTGATCATCAACCAGGAAATGTATGCCTTTCATACAACTACCTGTGCCTAAGTCATATGGCAATATGACTGGTTATACGTTACATTCTACCTATTTCCTACCATGCATCTTTTGGATCACCATAATTTGATTCTTTCGAGATTCTTCTGTTCCATGATTTGTATCCCCAGAATATTCATGTTAAAATTTAGTCGAGCTTTTCTGTCAGAGGCAGTTTGGGATTGTGAAAGCACTGTATGATTTCTGAAAAGCAATCCAGACCACTCCCTTCAGCTCATTCACCATTTACAGTATCTTTCCAAGCTTCCCAGCTAGTTAAGGAGATGTCTGTCAAAGTCCTACATAAACACTGAACCACGGTAGTTAAAATACTCTCATTGATTATCGATGTGGGTGTTCCTCCAAGCGTGATGTAAACTGTAGCCCGTCTGCACCTGCTTGTCTTGGCTAACACTTGTCCATGTCCTTCAATAAGTTGGACACAATGAGTCTACCCCATGTTGCTGGGTGGGCGGGGGCTTCCTTGCCTTCTCTTGACATTGTCAGGGACCCATAAGGTGTCCCTCACTCTTGCCATGTGACCAACGTGGCTGACTGTGAGGTAATGGGCTTCTTCAGTGAGATCCTTGACCCTGACTCTTCCTGTGAGTTCACGGTTATGTGTTGCAGCCTGCCCACTCTATGCCTCTTCATTGCCTTCTAAGTGATGCTCAGTTTTAGTTCCTGGGAGACTGCAGGGTTACAGGACTTTCAGCCCTGAAGTAAGTCATCATGTGGCAGGGCCATGTACCTCAAACCAGGCTGGTCCCAGGCTGCCACTGAATGCTGCCTTGGCCGTCCAGCAGGCCAGGACATCTGCCTGTTACCACTTGGCTAGCTTTCTACCTCTCCTTCCAGGATGACAAATCAATGGCTCTTCCTCTACAGTGAAGGACAAAACAGCTCTATCCCTTGTCCCCACTCCCAAATCCTATCATTTGGCTTCCTTGGCTGCCTGGAGTCACGCTCCTTCACCTGGATACCAGGGAGTGAATGGAAGCTGGGGGAGGGCAGGCAGTCTATAAATATTCATTGGGCGCCAATAGCTGTGGATCTTCTGTCGTGGCTGACTCTTCATGAGTCTTCATGGGGTTTTCTTAACAAAGATACTGGAGTGATTTGCTATTTCCTTCTCCAGCTCATTTTTAAAATGAGGAAACTGAGGCAAACAGGGTGAAGTGACTTGTCGAGGGTCACACAGCTCTATTACACTCGGGCGCTCTATCCACTGCGCCACAGGTGCTGACAAAACCCAGAAAGATAAAGGATGAGCTAGCTCCCAGTCTAATGGGTTTTTTCCACACATTCCGGACCAAAGTCAGTACTCAAAATACCCAAAGTGCCCTGCGGGCAGAATCACGTGGGAGGCCTAAGGGGTGGGACCCAACATTCTCGAAGGCGCCAGCGAGATGCGCACGCGCCGCATCCCTGGCCTCAGATTGGCTCCCTTAAGCCGAGGGGGCGGGAACCGTTGGGCTTGGCGCTTCCTGCTACAGTCCCTTCCGTATACCGAAGCCGCCCGGTCCGATTTGAGGTGAGATTCCGGGGCCAGTGGGGCAGACGGGGGCACCGAGCCCCGCCATCCTGGGGTGGGAGCCCCCGACCTCCAGCTCAGCTGTCGACTGCCCGCTTCCTTGGTGGGGGAGCTGGTTTCTCCCTGCTCGGTCCGCCTCAGCCTCGCTCTGACCCCGCCAGCCTCTTTCTGACACCCCTCTTCTACCCTCCCGCTGGTCCCCCTCGCACTCCGCAGCCTCGCTCTGACATCCCCCTCCCCGCTCCTCCCCAGTTCTCAGCCTCGTTCTGGTACCACTTCTCCCCCCAGCCTCTGACATCCCCCTCCCCGCCCCCCAACCCTCAGCCTCGCTCTGGTCCCACTCCTCTCCCCCTCTCCCCGCAGTTCTCAGCCTGACCCCGCCAGCCTCTTTCTGACGTCCCTCGTCAACCCTCCCTCTGGTCCTCCTCTCACTCAGCAGCCTCCCTCTGACACCCCCCTCCCCGTCCCCCAGCCCTCAGCCTCGCTCTGGTCCCACTCTCCCCCC